TTTTCCTCACTTAAAGCAGCCGATTTTATCTTTCGAGTGATGTTAGGGGCAGCATTCATGAATTTTTGGGTCTTCCATGGCGAATTTTTTAAAAATCTCTGTTGTTCAACGAACAATTGCTTCGATTTAGTATCTGAAAAAATCCTAAAAACTCCCAGAAATTTCCTATTAAAGTGAGGTTTTCCTCATTTAAAGCCTCAGATTTTCCCTTTCGAATGATATTCTGGCCAGGCTTGAGAGATTTTTGTTTTTTCTTCAACATTTTTTTTAATGCGTCTATCTATACCGACGGTTAATCGCTTCCCCTTAGTAACTGAAAACATCCTGGAAACTTCCGGAAATTTCCTAATCATGTGAATTTTCCTCACATGAAGCAGCGCATTTTCTCGTTCGCGTCATATTATGAGCCCAATTGTGGGATTTTTCGCTTTTTTTGTCAAATTTTTGAAAAATTCGTGTTTTCTAACTGCCAATCGCCTCGCTTTAGTAACTGAAAAAATAGTGGAAACTTTCAAAAATTTCTTATTAAAGTGGTTATTCGTCACTCAAAGCCGCGGACTTTCTCCTTCGAGTTATTTTATGAGCCGGATTAAGAAGTTTTTTATTTTTCCTTGGCAAATTTTTGAAAAATTCGGGTTTCCTAACTGYCAACCGCGTCGCTTTARTAACTGACAAAATCCTAAAAACTYCCAGAAATTTCCTATTAWAGTGAGTTTTTCCTCACTTAAAKCAGCCGATTCTAWCTTTCGAGTGATGTTAGGGGCAGCATTCAKGAAKTTKTGKGTTTTCCTWGGCGAATTTTTGAAAAATCTGTGTTGTTCAAYGAACAATCGCTTCGATTTAGTATCTGAAAAAATCCTAAAAACTCCCAGAAATTTCCTATTAAAGTGAGGATTTCCTCATTTAAAACCGCAGATTTTTCCTTTTGTGTGATATTCTGGCCAGGCTTGAAAGATTTTTGTTTTTTCTTCGACAATTTTTTTTAATGCGTCTATCTTYRCCGACRGCTAATCGCTTCCCCTTAGTAACTGAAAACATYYTGGAAACTTCCAGAAATTTMMTAATCATGTGAATTTTCCTCACATGAAGTAGCCGATTTTCTCTTTCGAGTGATGTTAAGGGCCGCATTCGTGAATTTTTGGTTTTTTCTAGACGGATTTTTGAAAAACTCGKGTTTTCTCCCGAAAATTTCTTATTAWAGTGCGTTTTYTCCACACTYAAAGCAGCGCATTTTCTCSTTCGAGTCATATTATGAGCCCAATTGKGGGAWTTTTCGCTTTTTCTTGTSAAATTTTTGAAAAATTCGTGTTTTCTAACTGCCAATCGCCTCGCTTTAGTAACTGAAAAAATACTGGAAACTTTCAGAAATTTCTTATTAAAGTGGGTTTTTCGTCACTCAAAGCCGCGGACTTTCTCCTTCGAGTGATATTCTGGGCGGCTTGGAAAATTTTTGGTTTTACATTAGTAATAGAAAAAAACGTTATTGATGCGTCACTGCCAAAAAGCTTGGAACAGTTTATAGTCTCAAAGCCAAAAAATCAGCTATTTTTTCCGCTCTCCTTATTTAAGCGGCATTCAACTAAAAGACAAATATTTATTTAGTTTTCCTAATTTTTACTTTCATTTATTCCTATCCGTTTATTCATTATTCATTACTGTTTGTTATCAATTTTCTTCCTTTGCTGAATTCAAAGTTCCGTCGATGTTTTACATGAATGTTTTACGTCCTTGTCGGTGCAATAGCCGAAAACAAATCGTGTCCCTTTGAAAGGGTAGAAATGGCTGTGGAAATAAAAAAAAGAAGCAAATAAAATGCGTTTATGAGCGCCGATAAAACGGTTTTACGATCGAAGAACCTTTGACAAACGCACGCATATTATAAGTTGAACAGCGGCACTGCCACACTTTGGAAAAATTAACCGGGAATAGAACACCGGTTTTTATTCGCAATTGTCGTTATTTTAGAGCCGTTTTTAATGATTGAAGAAAAGTTTGAAAATTGGACAAAAAGTTCTATATTTTAATGTGGAAATGTTGAACGGTTATCGGCTTTAAAGGACGGCGTGCAATCATGTTTAGCAAACGTGATACTGCACGGACTTAGGCCATGTTTGTTTACAATGTTTCTAAACCCCAAATGCAGCTGTGTTTATTTGCTTGGTAATTATTTTTAGATTATCTGTTAGTTCTGTTCTACCGCATTGCGACTGATAGTTGACGATTTTCGATAACATCAAATCGACGATAAGATTTATTGCCTTATTTGGTATTTTTTCTTAAAACTTCCCAAATAATTTCGCTTGATTTTTCGTCTGTTTGTTTCTATTGATTATAAGTTTCTTTGTTTGATAAAATAAAATGAACAATGTTGTAAGTATTTCGACAAACTTCCAGTCAAACATGGGACCATTTGAAAGTAATGCTTCATAACAAAGTTAAATTCGATTTTCAACTGTTAAAATGTTCTGTAAATATGCGGGAAAGAAACTTTCTAGAACTCCAATGAGGCCACTTTTGAATCATCCTGTTGGGCAAAAGGTGTGAATAAATGCTTCGGGAAATAGTGGGTAAACAGTGATAAATTTGCGATTAATTTGATCTCAGGTAAAAAGGGGGCACGCGTCCAGCATGCGCCTGCCTTCAACCCAAACCCCAGTTTACCTTTCTAATCCACTTTCCACTGAAAAGTAAAAATAAAAAACTTCGCTATGGACCCAAAAAATGGACCCGCAGTCGTTTTCGTGTCATTCTGCTACCTAGCTTGATATTGTAGCCTATTTAAAATTCCTCTCGTTGAATGCGAATGGACCCCTATGGGATCGGACTTTTCAACACCAACACAGGTGGTGAATAGTCCAACTATTACACTATTAGAACATGTATTTTGCGGATAATTATTATTGGAAAATTAGGTGAAATTTTGTACCTAAATTGTATTAAATCACATTTGTGTGGGCTTTGATCAATGGAGATTTTGTATTTTAGTGACTGTTTTGGAGGGTTTGAACATGGGGCATTTGATTAATCCAATTGAACGCAGCGAGCGGGCCTGGTAAACAATCTAATCAAATCAGATCAGTTCGCAGTGAGCGGATTAATGCAATCCTGTTCTGTTGACCTAAACTATAAGTTAATGGTGTTTAGAACATTCAACTTTTTTGGCGCGAATGCACCTCGGTCCTGTCTCAAGGTTCTACAAGCGCGTTTTAGTTTTGTTGCTGTTGGCTTTTTGATTTTTGTTTTGCTCAAATCGAGTTTTGTTAGGAATGTTAACGAGTTTTTATGCATAGTTTGACTTTTGGTCGTTTTTTGATTTTTAGCCGCGCCGCGTCCAGCCGGTGGTAGACGCTCCATGGTTTATGATGTTTTCTGCAGAATCGGCAATTAAGATTTGTTTGTTTCAGTTCGGCTGTTCTTGTTTGCCGTTTTTTTCTCATCTGGCTGCGCGCTCTCTCTCTCTCTCTTGTCGTCGTTTTCGTCGGTATGAAACTAATATGTTTGGGTCAATAATTTATCAGGTATGTTTGGTGTCTGTCGGCGGCCGCAACAAAGCAAATTAGTCGCTCTAATGCATGTAGAGTTTTGCGCTGGACTTTCGATTAGGCTTCAAAGCGCGTCTTCTCCGGAAATATATTGGCTCCCATTTTCCCAATTTTCCCTGTATAACTGCGAAGTTGAAGATTGCTGCGGATTGTGGCAAATTTCTGGACTTTTTCGGCTTATTGGTTGTTTCCAAACTGTGCAATTGTTGCTTTTCATTGGCGTCGCAAATCTGTGTTGGGCGCAATAAATTTAGGAAATTAATAGCGAACATTAAGCCCCTTCCTGGGACGCATAAACAATGATTCGGCTCTCGCCCATGTGCTAAAACGATAGAAATAAAGGATTTAAATTTATGTTGGTTTCACTGAAATTGCACTGATTTATCGTGAGAACGATATTCAAGAGTCAAGTCAATAAGGGCCAAGACGTTATTCGCACGTAATTTATTGGCCAATAATGCGGAAAAAGTGTTAAGAACAAAAGCGACAGGAAAGAGTTTCTATTCTAGCACCTGTCCGAGAATAGCAGCATTTTTGAGAATTTCGACAACATTGCGCCGGAAGTCAGAGGAGCCTGTCAAGAACCAGAACTGATCTGCAAGCCCATGAACGAAATGAACAAAACGTGATAAACTCGTAAATAACCAGCGGGAATCATAACAAGTATATTATATTCATAATTGCGACCTACAACAAGTCATAAACCCAGTTAGCTCGTGCTGAAATGGCTCTATCCAAAGCACCCTTTTCGGGCCGTTTGTGAAACCAGAAATTCTGGAAGCCAGAAATCAGGAAATGGGCCTTCGGGGTCAAGCGGAGGGCCACTTAAACATCAGGAAACTTCAACTGCGCCCTAATCAGGTTTAGTTCTCATATATCATCTAACAAAGCTGGGCTATTGAAATGTTGCATTTTTTCCTTTTTAACTCGGCCCAGATTGGCGTTTTGGAACTAATCCGTTTTTTCTTTCACAAGGACCCACCTTGGGGCTACTTGACAGGACTGCATTAAAATGTCGTTAACTTGACTCGTGGAAACGTTCGTATAATTGGGGTCGTTACACCTTTTTTGAAATGTTATACTTTTAATGCCGTTTGAATGATTTTCATTTGCGATCAGCCAGTTTTTGGACGCAAGGGTTTTCTGGAATTTATCGAAACATTCCCGTTGTGTTTCTGTCAGGGATTTTTAATAATACGCCATAAATAAGTGTTGCCAACATATAAGGATGGAAACTGCACAGAATATCTCTTTTATCATTGCGGAATTGACAATTGTATATACTTTCCTGACTGTGTTTCAATTCGTGTAGCGTTCAATATTCACAGCATTTCATACATACATTTCAATAGCGTTGTTGCTACACATAAAAACTGATGATGGTGGAAAAATACACCGAAACGTATTTTGATTGATAAATAGAGACAATAAATGACTGAAACCCAGGAATGAATTTGATTTGGAATTGGCAATGTTTTCTTTTATTTATATGCAACAAAACTGACTCAAACTAACACGAGCTAATCCAAATTAAATAAAACTGAAACAAATAGAGAGAAATTGCGCATAAAAAACTGACATGTAGACGTGGCAGCACAGTTGAAACATAATGATGTTTGTCAGCCTGCCTCTTTCCGATGATTCCTGTCAGTCCAATTTCCATTAAGTGTCAAGCATATTTTCCGAAATAACTTTTGCTAAAAACAGTGCCAGGAACGGGATAATCTACAATGTGAACACTTTTCTATTATCGAAATTCATCAGGGACAGATTAAGTTCAGTACCAATCAAATTTTCCTATTTTCCTTTTACTAAGTACCTGCATTTTCATTCAAACTACACCAATTTGTAACACGTAATTGGTATCTTCTAGGCATATTCCTTAAATCGAGAAGTATTAAGTAGGGAAAAGTTACGTTTATTGTTTGTACATGTAGTTTAAAATATAATTTTCCCCAGTTTTTGGCAGTGATGCAATAATTGTCGATCTTTTTCTATTATTTCTTTGATAAAGTTGTTACAATTCGCCAAAGTTTGGAAGAATATTAAAATCGTTTTTGATTTCTTGGCCAGTGCAGCGATCTTGTACGAGTTTCCCATTTTTTTCTACTATTTTGTTCATAATTTGATTGCACGTTTACCACCACGAAAATAACACAATTTAATGCCAAAAACTGCACAACTGAGGCGAATTACTAAGCAAACGGAAAAACGATTGATTTTTTCGATTAATTGTTTACATTCTGCAAAATTACCGTCACTATTGCAACTTGAAATAATTTAAATGCGGTGTTGTCGACTGCTTTTATAAAAAGTGAGCTGGTATTTCATAGAAAAATAAAACTTCTACATTTCCTTCAAGCAACGGCAAAAGTTTAATTGATCAACAATGAAAAATAGAACTAGTTTTTAAAGGCTGTCGAAAACCGTGCTTTTACAATAATATCTGATTAAACAAGAGTGATTCTGTTCAAATCACCGAGAACAAACGCTGAAGCTGGCAATGATGTCGGGTAATATGAACGGATTATTTCCAACCAATCTCGGACATGAGTAAATGTCAATATGGAGTCGCAAATAATGACGTCTCTGTCAAATAGGTTGTGTCAGACTGAGTTACAATAAAAGTTTGTCAGTAAAATCTTCACACGCAGGGTTGCCACTAGTATAGAAAATCATTGGTTTCTGTGAATGTGGACGTTCTTGTGCTGTTCGTTTCCCACACCTCGGCACCTTAACCGTTAGAAACTGTTTTCCCAATAAACCGACATTAAAACGGTCGCTTTTTGCAAGAAACAAGAAAATATCGACTTTCAAAATATGAAGAATAAATAATTTCCCACTGATATCTATTTCCCATCGGCCTGTCCTTATAAATGAAGGAAATAAGCCCTCGAATGACCCTTTCGCTGTATTTTTGCCCCGGTCAATCGGAAGTGGCTATCGTTTAAGGGTGGCTCGATTAGCCCTGAATAAAAACATGATTAAAACTGACACACGGAACAGGAAGGATCAGCATTTTAAGGACAAACGCTTCCCTAAATTCATCAATTGTGTCCCGTCGAAGGCCCCGGACACTGGCCATAGCAAAAGAAAGGATTGTCCCTTTTTTATTGTGCGCTTGCTGTTGCTCTAATTCTATTATTTTGCCACTATTGTATCCGCATCGATGTTTTTCCCAGGAATTTTCGAGTGTGTGAACAGTTCCCGATTTGAATATGGAAAATGCATTTTAGCAAGTGATTCGGGACAAAGTGCACGCCGGAATTGGCGTCTAAATAAAATCGTATCCGCTTTTTCGACGAAAAAAAACAGGCAGCCACCCCAATCTTTAAGTGCTGATCAGCAGCAGGTGAATTTAGGCCTTTAATAAAGGAAGGGAAGCTGGAATTCACGTACGAAACACCCCGATATGTGAAACAATCAGTGGTGTAGCTCAACTAACTAAATAATGAACAACTGCTGAATTAAATATAGGAATGGAAAGGACCAAGACGTAGAAAAGCCCCATAAGGCGACTCCAAAATTCACGCAAGCATTAATCATTTTGATACTGATGAGAACTTTCGAGAACTTTTTGGAAAGCAAATAATTTGGACGAAAGAAAAAATGCGTTGTTGCAGTTTGAGTACAAGAAGGGGCTTTCATTTGTGGACATTTTTGGTAACTTTCCTGCCTATTTCGTTCTCAATCGCGACCAGACGGGGCTGTTTATTTTAATCTCACCGTTTTTTATTAAACGCGTGTTATATTTCATCTTCTCCACCACTGAAGGTCCATATATAGGTGAACGACAGCCGAAAGCGGAGAAATATTGGGGTGCACCGATGATAGATAGTCCTACCTGACATTTAGGGGATGCTTTCACACGAGGCGATGAGAAAATGCATCTCGGCACTGATTTCGCAGATAGAATTGCGCCGAAAATCAAGCCATTCGGCTCAACGTACTTTTGGCATTATTGCTCTTGTTGTTGCCGGATTCACTACAAAATGCAAAATTTTTAAATGTTGTTTAAAGGTGTCAAACGCCTAACTCAGATCTTCAATCAGTCCCAAGCATTTTGCTCGCTCTGATCCTTTTAGGGCAACTCCCTAACAAAATTGAAAAGAAATTCGATATTTCCAAGCTGGAACCTGCTTTCCCTGTCCATTCAAGTCGGCTAATGGTCAGTAATTCGGGTAATGGTAAACGTGCTGGGACAAAAGTTCATGAGTGGACAGTCGCGATGTTAAAAGTCCAGCCAGAGGTCGACATCGGTGGGTCATTTCCTGTTTCCAGCCATTCATTTTCCGGAATTTCCACTTTGATGCCGTGGCGGTGCTTTGAAAGGACGGGATTGGGCACGAGCTGAAATGTGAAGGGTTTTTTCCTCATTTGAATGTCTTGTTTTCGGTCGTAAGTTCGTTTTTATGGCTTGTTTGGAACGTCGAAGCTAGCGATTACCCACGTGTGTGTAACGGTTGTTTAGTACGGTGGAGAAGGGGGTCTTCGAAGTGGGGGTTTCTTCACGAAAAAATCTGAAAAATTCTATCCAACGATGCCAAAACGAATTCTCTGGCACAAATGGTTCTTGAGAAACCTCGAAAAAAGCAGCATCATGTTCAAGTGGATTTTGCAACTCAAAAAAAAATTACGCAAATCTAAAACTTCTTGAAAGCAAGCATTTGTTGAAAAAACTGCGAACATTTCCTTATCGATGGTTCACTTTTTAAAAAGGTCATTTATTTCTCTCTAGAATGATGGACAAATGAGCGTTCTTGCTCATTTTGCCTCCGAGAAATGAGAAAAAACGAGGCGGGAAACATAGAATTTTGGCATAATYTTGCACCGTAGTGTCYGATATTCAAATTTCGCTTYCTGGGTCAAAACTACTCGAATTTCCTCACTCACGTTSTTAMGACTGAAGCGAGTTTTCAATTATCTATTCAACGATGCCAAAACGAATTCTGTGGCTCAAATAACCTCGAAAAAAACAGCATCATGTTCAAGTGGATTTTGCAACTCAAAAAAAATCACGCAAAGCTAAAACTTCTTGAATTCAAGCATTTTTTGAGAAAACTGCCAACMTTTCCTTATCGATGGTTTACTTGCTAAAAAGGCCATTTATTTTTCTCTCGAATGATGTACAAATGAGCGTTCTTGCTCATTTTGCCTCCGAGAAATGAGCAAAAACG